AACCCCGCCGCCGAGCTAGCCGTACTCCAGGACGGCGGGGACGGCTGCTCGGGCTGTGCACGCGCGATCCGACCGCCCTGCGTGTGCAACACCGCCGCTCCGTCTGTCATGCGGCGTCCCCCGTACTCCCTTCCTCTTCGCCAGCGCACTCTCCGAAGCCCTGACAACCGGCCGCCCCGGAGGTGCCCACTGTTCGGCTTCCCTTCCAGGGACACCGCTCCGCCGTTCCTCTGCGCCTGCGCGGCACACCCTTCACACACACCCCCGCCCATGCTGCCCTCCCCAGGAAGAATCACAAAAACTCAACGTTGGCCAATCAAATTTCTGCTTTCTCTTCGGGCCGCCAATCGGAGAGCGCTAAAACGGGTGACAGCGAAGGCGAAGCTTTTCGAAGCAGAGCTGAGAGGGGCGGGACTTCGGGGGTCTTGCTCCACCCCAGATCCTGCGTTTCCGAGGCTCTCACACTGGACTAGGTCTTCTGGACTGGTACCTTTAAATGTATCAGGTGCGGTTGGATTTTGTTTGTTTGTTTTGGGGACTGATGGAACCCAGGGCCTGCATGCTAGGCAAGCTTTCGCCACTGAGCTATATCCCCATCCCTTTTCAGTTTTGATTTTGAGACAGGGTCTCCTGAGTTGCCCAGGCTGGCCTCAAGCAGGTGGCCCTCCTGCCTCAGGCTCCTGAGAAGCTAGGATGATAGGCATGCACCACTACATCCAGTGCAGTTGGATTTTTGGTCCCTACCAAGGAGTCGTAAATTGCAGCCCATTCTTCATTGCAGATGGTCACTTGGAGGCATCTCCCTTTTGCAACCTCCAAGATATCATTGCTGTCACATTAAAATTATAGGAGGAGGGCTGGGATGTAGCTCTGTGGTAGAGGACTCATGAAGCACAAGCAAGGCCCCAGGTGCAAAAACCCTGGTTTCAATCTGTAGCGCCAGCGCGCGCGCGCACACACACACACACACACACACCTTAAATTAAATTACAGGAAGGCCCAACAAGGTGGCAGGAACACATAGTCCTAGATCCTTAGGAGGCTGAGGCAGGAGAATTGCTTGAAAGCACTTGAACTCAGGACCGGCCTGGGCAGTACAGTGAGACCCTGTCTCAAAAGAGAAAATAATTTTTTTTTTTTTTTTTGGAGACAGGATCTCACTATGTAGTTGAGACTGACCTGGAACTCACTATGTAGCCCAGGCTGGTCTCGAACTCACAGTGGTCCTCCTGCCTCAGCCTCCCGAGTGCTGGGATTATGGGCGTGTGCCCTCACACCCAGCTTATAAATGTTTTTAAAAATAAAATAACAGAGAGTTCATTGTTTTGGACTTAGCTCCTGCCCTAGGCCCCACAGAGGAGACCAGAACAGAGGTACTCATGCTAGGTGCCACATGATCAAACTGAGGCTAAAAATAGGCTAGGTTCTGGAGGACAGGAACATTACAGCACCTCTCTGCTTCAATCTTGAGAGGCCAATTCAGATTTCTGCAGAAAGCCATTGTACATGGCTGCATAACAGACCACCCCAGGGCTGGGGATATAGCTCAATGGTTGTGCTGCCTGCCTTTCAAGCACAGGTCCTGAGTTTGATTTCTGGTACAAGAAAAAAAAAAATAACAGACCACCCCAAAGCCTAGAGGCCTCCAGCAGGGACCCTTTCTTATGCCAACAGGGCCTGCAGTCAGGAGTTCAGGCCTGAATTCCAGCCCTGGGACTGTGCACATTCCTGCTGTGGCTAAGCTCCCCATGCAGTAGGAGAGTGGATCTTCCAGGTAGCTTCTCCAGTGCTGGGCTGAAGTAGGAGCTTCCTGAGGAGCCAGTGTGTTCATGTGGCCTCCACTGAACCTGACCTTGGAGTCAGAATGCGTTAACAAAGAGAAAAGAGGGGAAAAGGACTGAAGGGGCACAGCAGGAGAAGGCGCTCAGCTGGAAAGTAACCATGAAGGTTACCAAGAGGAGAAATCCATTCTGGCTCAGTTTGGGAGATTTCACTCCATGACTGGGTCCACCTTCACTTTGGGGTGTGTCCCAAAGACAACAGGTCATGGCAGGGAGTGTGGGGCAGAGCAGAGGCCCACACTTCATAGCCAGTACCAAAGCGAGATCTCCCACCAGATTCCACTGCTTGGTCTGAGAAGCTACAGCAAGCCAGGTCCCAGGGCAGACATCTCCTGCCACCTTTGAGCACCCAGCCCACACACACTGCCCTTCTGGTCACACTCAGGGCATGGCACACGCCCATCTGGGTGGCCCAGCCTGAGTGTGTAGGGAAGAAGGCAAAGGAGAGTCATTTTCAGCATTGGTTTCTGTTGTTTGTTGTTGTTTTTGGTACCAGGGATCGAACTCAGGTCCTTGTGCTTGTGAGGGAAGCACTGAACCACTGAGCTAAATCCCCAGCCCTAAAGGAGAGTGGTGTAAGCAGGACGTGTGAGAGAAGGAGAAGCAGAAGAGGAAGCCACTGAGAGGGGCCATATAGGCTGTTTGCAGAAGCCCCTGGCCACCCCACACAGAGGGGACTGACAGGGCCCAGCAGGAGCAGGCACACAGATGAGAGGTGACTGCACAGGCAGCAAGATGTCAGACATAGTGGAAGATGTGGGGGATCTGTGGGATTCTACAATGCTGGAGATAGCTATGTTAGCATTCCATTGCTATGACAAAATACCTGAGAAAACCAATTTAAAAGGAAGAAAGAGGGCAAGGGATTTAGCTCAGTGGTGCCTCCACCTGCCTCACAAGCACAAGGACCCATGTTCTATCACCGGTACCAAAAACAAAAACAAAAAAAAAAAAAAGGAAGAAAGAAGTTGGGTATGGCAGCACATAACTCAGAGGGGCTGAGGCAAGAGGTTCACAAGCTCAAACCCAGCCTGGGCAACTTGATAGTTTACTAATACCCTATCTCAAAAACAAATTTTTAAAAAAACAGCAACTAAAAAAGGATTGGAGACGTGACTCATTGTAAAAGCCCTGGTTCGATCCTCAATACCATAGATAGATAGATAGACAGACAGACAGACAGACAGATAGATACAGATACATAGATAGGGCTGGGGATGTAGTGAAGACCCTGGGTTCACACTCTAGTATCAAACCAGAGAGAGAGAG